GCGTTGGGTCTGTGTGAGTTGAACGCAGACGCGATGGTGTGCGTCGGGGGCAGTCGCGTAGTAGAATATTAAATGTGTTTAATATTTCTCACGACGGCTTAAGACTGTCCCCGACGATAAATCGGGTCGGGCTGCGTCGGCCGACGCTGTCTGAGTTGGCCTTAAAAGTGCGATTTCTAGCATTCTAGAGGGCATTAAATTATAAATTTTCTTGCCTCTGCCCCAACCATTGTGGAATTGAGGTGGTATCTATCTGTGAAAGTCCTTCCCTGGGCCCCTCTATTTCAAATTTTTGAATTTGCCACTGAATATATTCTTGCATACCTATAATCTGCAACAATACTGTTCCTTTAAGTTGGTATAAAATCAACTGCCCTAAAGAAGGCCTACTTGACATTTAAATGGCCACTATGCCTTTATTGTTCAGGTAAATCAGTAGACAATACTTATAAAGATATACAGCATATACTATCTGTGTTTATGACTAAATAAATATCAATACAGGATTGCTTAGTTGTTAATTGAAAATATAACAATTTTTCTTGCCAATTAATGGGCACATACTATTTGTTTTCAATATGTGGTGGAGACAAGCCAAACCAGCCACTCCTTGCAAATCGTGTTTTACAGATAATGCCCAAAACATGTTGGAATGTCAAAACATTTTAAAATCTATTTTATGGCACTAAACTAAACTTTAGTGATCTATTGATGGTCTCTGTCTGATAAATGCCCAAAATCGTGAACTTTGAAGGGCGATTTCTCAAATACTGTTCTTTAAACAGCTGTAGGCTTAAACTCCTACAACTTCATAATGAAATGACTGATTCAAATTATTTTTTTACCATTTCATGACTCATTTTACTGTTTTAACCCTGTAGTAATTACTAAAAATTAATTTTTGCGAGGAGTGACAGGTTTGGCTTGTCTCAGCCAAATATTCTATGCATAGATTTATAAGTTGGTTTCTAATCAATTCAAAGATGTTTCATAGTAAAAGATCTGTAAAATGTAAATCAATAAAGCATAAAAAAAAAGAAAAATTAGTTTATCGCTGGAAATGAACAATTTACTTTTATGTTTCTTTTTAAATGGGCGATATAATGTTTTAATTGGTGTTATTCCTATAAATACTACCCTGGCCCCTATTACCTTCGGCATGAATTGAACTGCTCAATTGTATTGAAGACAGACTATTTGATTGGTTGAATGATTGTCATATTGTCGTACATATAGTTTACCTTGGTAAAATAACATAAGCTGTTTTCACAGAATGTTTACATATTATCATGTTTAATTTTACGTCATTAACTTGTAATGATTTATTTTTTATGATTTATGAGAAAGGAGTTAACAAACTTACTGGAGGGCACTCAAACACTTCATTTTGTAATAGGGTTATCTACAGCCATGGACCTATTGAGCCAAAGCAGTAATTCGAACACCAAAGGCAAAATCGGTGATGCAATACAACCTGTGCACATTGCCTATTTCCAAATTTGGAAACCCCAATCTATTAAAGGCGAATCTAGCATTGAGAACAGTTCCATAGATAGCTGCACCAGACATTACTGGTAGTGTTTTTCGTAAATAATGATTTATTTGATCCTATGCTTTTTCAAGCAATGGTACCCGTTGGTTTGCAGTTCACAAATAAACTAACATATTTGGCTACAACTTTATTTTTAAGGCAATGAAATTTCAATTCCCAAATGCTAATTAGCATCCAAATATAGCACAATCTCATTTAATTTTAAGCCTTTGTTGTTCCGTACTTACCAATTTGCGAACAAAAAAATGTCGGAATTTAATTCAAATTTATTATTTTTCATTTATTTAAAAAAATAGCTGACACTGATCAAAGTTTGGTTTCCGATCTTCATACATTCAATTAATAACTGGTATACTACCACAAACAAGAGAAAACAAACAAGGAAGTAAAGTAAAACAATACAAACAATTTTTTTAAATAATAAATATTTAGCTTAATTTGATAATGTTATTCTTTAGGGGGTACATTTAAAATCTAAAGGCAAACTATTCCAAAGTTGAAAACTAGACTATACGTAACATAACTGACTAGTATTGGTATGAACTTGTGAACAAATTGAATTATACTAATAAACTCATAGACATGCAAATACTCTGCTGCTTGAATATATTGGAGAACATAACTAAAACAACTTCCCCAAATTCTAAACCATCAAAGATACATGACTGAATAAATGGCCTAATGCACAAGGAAAATATTATAAGGTACACCATGTCTTGATGAAATAATCCAGATTGCACTCAACTAGCCACCCAATTTACAAGGCTAGTCAATATTTTTATTTGTCAACGTTAATGAGTTCAATTAATCCTGTTCTGAGTTAATCCTTTTACAATCCACAAGGACTAGCTTCACAACTAAAACTACTGATTAAAGACATGGCACTGCACAACTTAAGCTCAAATCAACCAGGTCATTTAGAATTACCAAAAAAAAATTGTAGGTCAAAACATTGTGCAATGTGTGCAAATAAAATGAAATACCAATCTACAAAATGTACAAACCCATGTATGAAAAAACATTTATTTCACTTTTAAACACACTTATAAAAATACATAAGTACAGTAAATGCAGATACAAAAGTGCTGATAAACTGTGCAATGTTTCTCCATTTAAATCAATTTTCAGAATACAATTTCAATATAGAAAGGCCTTGAAAAACAATGAATGGAAGAACCTAAACCATGTATATTTATGAAAATAGCTAGCTCATTTGTAGGCTCTATAAATGTAGTTTAATTAAATCAGCCAGACATATTGTACAAATGCAATTAAAAGCATTACAGTATGTTAGTTTGGCACAAGTATAAACAAAAACAAAAAATGATTAAAAGACTTATTCAGTATGTTTGATAGTTCAGCACAAGTATAAACAAGAAAGAATCATGGTCATAGTTTAAGTGCCACATTGTCTAAATAATCTGTTGATAAAAATAACTTGCAAATACTTTTTCTGTTGAACTGTATTCTAGGTCTAAGAAGATGTATTGTTAACATCATAAACAGATTTTGCAATCTTCGATAGTAGTCTTTTTGCTTGAGGTCATTCTTCCAGTTGGCTCCCATAAACCTACACTTCTAAATGCCTATAACTTACGTAATTTGACAGCTATGAACAAGTTATCTCTTAGTTATCAACCATCAATAGACCCTAATAGATAAATCTATAATAAAGATAAGGAAATATTCAAGTTATATTTGTATATTACAGGCACCTGGATTCCCAGGGTTTATAAATCTAAGCAACAGATTTTTGAAGCATGTGCTTTACTGTAGGTAATTAATAAGATAACACAATACAGTTCACAAGCCTATGTTCCAGTCCTGTCCTTGTAATTTTAATTGTTCTAATGTTGCTATTAGCTATACCACCACTCCTCCCCCAACCCTATTGTTTATGTTTCTCTATGGATTGTAATTATATCATGCATTCAACCTATTTCTTATTAATTATAATTAGGCCCACTATCAAAAATGTTCATACTAAAATTATTTACAAAAATTTCAAGGCCCAGCAGAACTACCAAACTTTGCAGCACTGATTTGATCTGAAAATAATTAAGCACTGAATAACACCTAAAAAAAAATAAATCGTTTGTCTGCCTTTTATGTGATGCTGAAAATTAGGAGGGGCGGATGCAAAAGATTTTTTTTTTTAGTTTTTTTCTTTATTAAAATTAATATATTAGATCCCAATGCTTACAATTAAGTTTTCCAAAGGGTATTCATCAGACTGAATAAAAATAGCCCATAATCGATATTTTGCAATGATTTTACCTTACAAAAATACCTTACATCAGACACCAAATTTAGACAATTTTCATGTGCAAAATGGAGAAAATGAAAGATCACTTTTTAAAATTTGTGAACAAAGAAAAAAAAACTTTTTAAAAAAATGCTGCTCCTCTTTTTCGGTGAGCTGGGGGGGGGGGCGCTGGAGGGCAAACAAACAATTTTTTTAGGCCTATAATAAGCAATTATTGCAAGGTTTTTAAGGTACTGAAAATAGCGACCTGCAGGAGTCTTTATTGACTGAAAGAATATAAAATTTGCTTATAAGATAGTGTTTTTTTTCTAAATTACATAAGAAATAGAAAAACTATTAAAAAATATGTTCTCTTTCAAATATGAATAATTATGGCAAATGTCAAGGGGAATATTTTTTTTTTTTAAGTTCAACGAAAACTAATAAATTGTTGGCGAATGAAAAATATAAATAAATTACAATTTACCTGGTGCAAAAAAATAACAAAAGTTATCGCTGACTTGACTACTGGCTAGTATCTAAAGATCTCATTCAATGTGGGGATATTATATCTTGTGATATTCGTCTGGATCATCAAGCGGTTTCAATAAAACTAGATTTATACGAGTCAAAACATGGCCCAGGACTATGGAAGTTTAACAACAGTTTTTTAAAGGATGAAATTTATAAAAATTCAATAAGCAAAATTATTAATGATATGGTATTGAATAATTCAGAATCGATGAACCCTACATTACTATGGGAGTATGGTACATAATCCCACACATAAAAATAAATTATTTAGAAATACGTTCATGGAAATACTTAATCCTCCTCTATTCACAATTGAATAACAAATTGGCAATGCCATCACAAGCTATCACATAAATCTTGACAGTGTGGACAAAACCTTAGAAGGAAAACCTGCATGAAAGGGGGGGGGGGGGGACATTCCACTCTAAGCATTGGTGACAAACAAATAGATGATATTACTAAATACTGAAGTACTAAAATACTGTAGTACTGTACTGTTCAATTAGTTGATTGATCTTTTTTTTCTCTTTGTCTTGTTTTTTTGTATTATATGGATATTAATTGTCTGAAATAAAAGAATTGAATTGAATTGCAAGTAATAATGAGATGTGATGTGGATCTGCATACAATAGGTTGAGGGCGGTATATATAATAAGTTAATTATCTTACCTGTAAATACATTACATCTTTGATTCTGTATTCAGCTTGTAACTTGGTAAATCCGTCAGCTGCTAAGTTCAGTAATCCCACAGCTGTTCCAAGTGCTGTAACCAACAACATGAATTTTATGCTACATAAATATTTTTGTTTACAAGTTTAATGACATTTGCAACTGGAAGAATATTGATCAAATAATGTAATTAATTTTAATAAAGATATTGTTAATGAGGATGTGGGAATAAATGATGGAATATCTATAAAAATAATAAAATAATGCAAAAATAAATAAATATAAAACTAAAATTTAATACTTAATTAAAGCATAGAATTGCTCAATTAAAGAGGGATTAAATGATTTTTTAGTACAAAAATCATTAAGCTGATTTAAGAGTCCATGTAATGAATAGTGAAATCAGCATCCTCTTATAATTAACAAAAAATATTTAAACTTTATAATTACTATAAAGTATATGCAGCAGCAAACTTAAAATATTTAATTATATTTTTGAAGTTTATAGTTTAACACATCAAATAATAATGAGTTATAATTTAAAAAAAAATGATTTCAGATGTTCCAAAAAAGAAGAGAAAATGCTTTATGTACCTGCTTTCCTTTTATCAAGATTTGTGTTTGATATACTGGCAACCATACACTTAGCCAAGAAAAACAGTGAACTACTCCTTTCAAATAGTGAACCTGTAAGCATACAGATAGCAGGTTACAGACAACAAAATTAATACACCCTACCCTCCCCTGTCAATGCCACCTTCTCCCCTATCAATATTACCCTTTTCTTTATCAACATTTCTTCACTCTCTCCCCTACAACATCTTCAGCCAGCCTCTCTATCAACACCAGCCTGTTCCTTATCAGCACAACCTTCTCCCCAGGCCTGGAAAAAATATTTTTGTGCCTCCAACCATGAAAATCATCTTGATCAAATGCCTCCAGCACAAAATGTTATCTTTACACTGTTATAGCTAACAGTAGTACATTAAATGGTTTGGAGCAAGCATAAATATCAAATTTAATTACCCGCATGCATTAAATTGTGATGTGTAACAAAAAAAAACATTTTTTTTAATGCCTCAAGGGTTATGATCAGTGCCTGTAACCGCCGGTTGCACACTTTTTTCAGCCCTGCTTTTCCTCTATCAACACAAACCCTCTCCACAACCAACATCCCTATCATAACTACCCTACTGTTGATACTCCTCTACCCTATCACAACCAACCTCTTATATTACCACCTTTTAATCATCTATTTTTATAAATTCTTCTTGATGAAACCTTGTTCCCATTATAATAGTCAATTATCTCTTTCCTTGTATATACATATACTTACATTACATTAAATACAGTGTATGAACGCAAGTTTAGTTTAGTCAATCATGCTTGTAATGATCATTTATTTACCCTTCTTTTTTTCATTCATTGTACAGTACAGCTCTATAAGCCTTTTTGTGGAATGACCAAAGTGAAAGTGACATTATTATTCATTCTCTCCATTGACATAATCCTCTCCCCTCCCATTGCCACTACCCTCCCCTATGTTTGTCATGAAATTTAGTTAGCATACCTTGTGCTAGCACTTGTGCAATCTTTTCATCAAGTACTTGAATGGAATGATGAGGCATCTTTAGGTAAAGCTAAAAACAACAGGAAATGCAAAGAGTTAATATACTCTATAACAAACTCAACAAAAAATTAAAAATAATAAAATCATGTCTAATCAATAATAATCTGCTACATTTATATGGATTAAAAACAAATATCATATTTTCCCTTTCTCAGATTATAAGCGTATCTTTAACTTTTGAGAAATTTTCAGGCAAAATGCTTCACACAAGTCCACACCTAAATTCAGTGTTTGTAACAAAAATTGTAAGAATTAGGCTGGATATTTTGTAAGACCTAGCCCAATCACGGCAACAGCTCCAAATTTGCTTGCAATGTTGGGCCTTCAAAGCCAGTACCCCAAAATGTCCCTAACTTTGGGTTAAATGGGAAGGCTTACTGTTCAAGGACACTACAGTATATCTGTTTTCAGTGGGGCTGACGGAGAAGTGATAGTTACACATTATGGAAAAATGTAGTATAAATAAATCAGGATTATGCGGATGCAAACTTTTAGATACACTTTTAATATCAAATAATATGTGCTAACCTGTATTTGAGCTAGTTGAATCTTGGCCAATATTTCTGTATGATTAAAGAAATTCTCCTGAGAAAGGGCGATGCATTCAAGCAGGTGGGGTAACGAGGAGGTAAAGTCGTTGCTAGAACAGTAAAGCTGCGACAGCTGCAACAGTGTTCTATTTGAAGATGGAGATAAACAAAAAAAAACTCTATTAATACTTCTTTCTCATTTTCCTTTGCCTAAAATATTTTATAGTTTCTACAAAAATGATTTGACATGTTCCTTGAATATGTGTTGCTATAATTGTAATAGTACTTGTAGATGATAATGTATTGGTGTTACTCAACACTTTTTGAAGCAATCACGACTTACTTGACACTGTGAACTGAGACTTAGTGGTTAAAATACCTATCTAATTCTAGGATTTTGGGTCCAGATTCTACAAACTGTTATATTATTTTTCTCATGACAAAAAAACCCCTCCAAACTTACAAAGCATTGTATTCAGTATATTTCATCTTATGTGACAAGCCAATGTAGGACAAGTATTGATACTAAAATTTAACCTATAGAGGGCTCACTATTATATGTTATAAAGTTCTTTACATACAGTAATAAAACTGACACATAGGTGTCAACCCTTCAAAAATATTTTTAAAATAAAAAAATTACATAAAGATATATTGATTGTGATATAATTTACTTGTCCTCTTTCAAAACAAAAAAAATACATAAACAAATCCACTACAATTTCACCTACTTTGCATGTACCTCTGCTGTAAAGCCTTCCCTGCTGGCTTTACAGTTCTCAATAATCTCATAAATTAAACTGTATGCTTTGGTTGTTTCTCGTTTCCTTGTTAGCAGACTCACTTTCCTAAAAAAATAAGCAAATACACAATCCCATGTCAAACATTTTTATAAATGCAGATGCTAAAATAGTACATTCTAAAGTAAACCATAAGCCATTTTAATGAGTAAGAACCCTGTTTGGTATCTTGAGGGGAGGGAGGGAGTAGATGGGTCAAGTATTTTTTTGTGTGAAAAATGAAGTGCAGAAAAGGAGCGTGGTTGCCCTCAGATGTTTTACTGGAGTTCTCTACACACTTCAGAGATACATAAATACATTAAATCAAAACACTGAAACCCTCCCCCACCCCCAAACAAGTGTATATTGATTGGGTACCTGAACATGGCTTCCGATTGGCTGAGAGATGCCATACTGATAAGAACTTCTTCAGCTTTTGCAATCTCACACTTGTGCATTGCCATCTCAAAATTAACTTGTAAACGACAAAGCATCCATAACTGTCAAAATAATAAATATCAAATTCTATTATAATGCTCTGTCTAGACTACCAAATTTTATTTGACAAAATACTGTTGTATGCCCATATATAGTCATGATGTGCCTATATATGGTCATGATGTGATGTTGCCATGACCATATTTAGGCATGTCACATGTTTTTGTCAAATGATAGTCTGGGCAGGGCTTACAATACCTATTAATAATATTAAGATTAGTTACTAGGATTATTAACCTCTTAGAACACTTTCAGTAGGTGACTTCTTTTTGGGACAAGCTGATAAAATTGATGACACTGAAGATGGTGGTGGTAGGGCAATGCTGACAGTAATGATTGTGATAGTAATCATGGAGGTGATAATAGTGATGCTGACAAGTAACTATTACGATGATGACGGTGATAGTAATCAATGAGGATTCTGACTGATGACAATATTGATGTGCTGGTGACGGTGGTGGTAATTACAATGAGGATTATGACGGATGATGATACTGATGATGATGGTTGTAATGATAGTTGATGATTACTGATAAATTAAACATTATTCATTTTGAATACTACTGGCAAAAATGACTTCTACAAATATCACTGCCTTCAAATTGCTTGTACAAATATCAATACCTATAAATATTTCCAGTAAAAGAAAGCACCAAATGCTTAAACTGTTCCTAAATTAAGTATCTAGATTCAACATGATTTACCTTAGATTGTTGAGATGATTCAGGGAATTTAGACTCAGCAAATTTTAGTATCTGTAGCGCAGCTTGGTAGAGTCCATCGTGGAGGTGCAGAATTGCTTGATGGCACAAAGACACACACACTGCCTCACTATCTAAGTTGAATGCACTCACTGATTGTGATGAGTAGTTGTTGGTGCCGAGGAGAAGCTGTGTGTGTAAGGAACACAAAGAACTGGAGAAAGAAACGGAGACTAATTTTTAGTTAGTCAATAATAATAATAATAATAATGTTATATTTATATAGCGCATAATGCCGGAGCTTCTATTAGATACTTATATTTTCCAATTACAGGTCTCCCTCCATTTAAAGACCACTACTGGGACCAGAGTGTCCATGCAGCTTTGGTCTCTAATTAGAATAATAAAGATAAAAGACATTTGTTGATTTGGGACCACAGGAAAGTTTTCGGTAAATAGAGGGGTCTTTAATTGGAGGGAGACAAGTATAAGATATACTGTATTTAAGGTACTTGAATTTGATATTTAAATTACTTAATTTATAAGCAAGTGTTTAACTTTTAAAAAGAAATTGAAACAAAATAATTTTTTTACCAATTAACAAAAGCATGCTAAATAATACCATTTCTATTTTCTCTGGAAAAATCCTTAGATCAAGGAAAAGTTTGTAAACCAGCAGAAACCAAATTGCTTTTCTCATCAGACTGTTGATAACTTATTCAATTACTTAGAAAGTATAATACATACTCCAATGTACTGAAATACATGCCATCATGTTGGGATACTTCAACTTTAATTATGTCGTCATCATCAGGAATGAATATTCAATTATTTAGGAGCAATTCAATGTTTTAACTGAACTTTTAATTGAGTTTGTTTCCCAGTTTCTAGTACCTTATTATTAATGACACAATGGAACTTTACTGGCTGTTACTAAGATTAAGGAATATTTTTGAAAACTTCATCGAGGCCAACTAGGATATACAGGTGACTGTTAATAGCAGGCCTGCCACACATGGCATTGCATATCTCAGAGTACTGACAATGGAGCTGATGGAAGTGGGGGCATAAAGGGAAAGTGAAGGGATGCTAGCCGGGAGTAATGAGATGAAATGTCCCTCCCTCACTCTTATATAACACCGGTCTGCTAATCTGGCACTATACCTGTAGCCATACAAAGACCAAAGGGAAGCTTGCTGGGCTAGGCTGACTGACATCAGCTGAGGTTGGTTATGATGGCAGTTAATAGCATTGCTTCTTGACAAATATTCCATTACCCTGTATAAACAAAATCATTAGGCTAAAATGATAATATTCATATCAAAATCTGATGTACTAGATTTCTTTATATACATTTGTCTGTAAGGACTTATTAATTTTTCAATATTAAATAATCATTGAATTGTTTGAAGAAGTTTACTTACTTTGCTGGCTGTAATTTATGCAGCGCTTTGTGTTGAGCAAAGTTGATCACTCCAAGTGAGGTTAGATACTGTTGGGAACATATGCCATATTTATTATTTACTTTTTCCATAATTGTACATAATTCTTGTATTCATAATGGTATACTAATTCAAAATCACCTTATCAGTAAAACTGAACTTTGATAATATATTACAGAACAATTTAACCTTGGTGTTAAAAAAATTAATACTGAGGAACATGAAAAACAAAGGCAATATCAATTGATTAGGGTGCTAATGTGAAACAATTTGATATGTGCACCTTTAAAATGCTATATAATTGTCGAAAAGAATGGTTACTTATGTCAAATAATCCTGATTTAAAGTGGCTCTCTGATAGCATACATCATTCAGTAAGTAAGATTGCCATTATGTCAATGAGCTTACATCACACTCAATAGCAGGATGACGAGCCATTGATATTTCATTTCAGCAGGCATACAAGAATGATTCAGGCCCAACATCAATGGACATTTTACTTTAGTAGGCATACAGGATGAATGTGGCATAAATCCTTTAGATGCAGTTTTTAACTTACAGGTAAATTAAGCTCTTCTGATTTTGTGACAGCTCTCTCCAGTAACAGCGTTGAATTGGGCCCATCTACACCTTCTAGTCGATATAACCAACCCTGGAAAAAAATGTACAAAAATGTTAATATATATTTCTTCTTATGTGATGCTTAATAATCCAAGCCTCTGAATGGGTCTGGTGGAGTAAATTTAATACTGTAAAACAATTAAGTTGAGAGATTTGAACCCAGGACCATGGCACTCAAATCTGAGCATGTTAACTACAGCTCCAGCCCTCAAAAATTAACGCCGGCATTGGGCAATGCTGACGTAAACGGCGGCGAATAGCGGAAAAAAAAAAATAACGAAAAAAGTCGCAGACGTGAAGATTTGAAAAGGTAAATTTCATTCTCTACAAATTTGCTCCATAATTAGCAACATGTTTTGAGGAATGAGTAAAGCTTTGCATTTGTAATTTACACTGATGGATCTACGACATCCAAATTCAAAAGGTCAGTATGGGTTGATTTCAGGGCTGTAGCTGAGACTAAAAACTGCCGACGTTATAACCGGTATCAATTTTATAGCGCCGGCGATTTCCTTTTCTTTTCTTTTTTGCCCACATACTTTTTTTTCCTAATTTTGAGGGCTGCAGCTCCAGTCTTGCTATAATCAGATTAAAAAATAAGAAGGAACATGAATATTATGTATGTTATCTTATATATTTTAATGAAGAACAGCGGAGTAGCATAGAAAAAGACATGTGAAAGACACTCACCAAAGCATGTTGAAGGCAAACTGGGTCGTTTGCTTCTTGAGCCATTCTGATAGCTTCTTTTAAAGTTAGAAGTGCTTCCTCTCTATCAGTAAAAACAAAGAACATAAAAAAAATTACTGTAATCCTTTTATAGATAATTGAATGGATAGAGAATCCTATGAAAGACCAGAAGCACTAAAATGGTGATAAATAACAGCATGCAATGCGTACTCCTTCCTGATGCACCCACTTGATGCTACCCAAGAATGAAATAAAGACCAACAGTATATATTATGAAAGAGATGATGCACTAAATACTCACTGCAGCCATATTCCTCCAATAGGTGCCAAAGACTGCCATCAAGACCAGCGGTAAAGGATGAAAATGATGGATAAGGACAAAATGTGATGGGTACTGATGGAGGTGCTATGCATCCATAGGGTGGCATGATTTGAAAACAGATAATGGAGAATAGGATGTGCCCAAAATATCTAGAGATCTAGACAAGTATTGATAATTGTATATCAATGCAATATTCTTTGTAGACTTACTTGTGGCCAAATCTACTATGTAAGCTAGCTAAATTGAGGGCAGCATAACGATAGCTTTGGCTAAACTCTTCACTGCTGTTGCTCATAGTGTTTGGGGATGATATCCGATCGAAGTAGTTGTACAGACTATGAACAGCTCCACAATACTCATTGATGCGCAAGTAGTTCAGAAATGAAAGGTATCGCTGAAAGAAAAAATATTTTGACAGCGTAAGTGTTTTTAAAGAGGTACCCACACACCAAATTTTCACTTACTTGTGGTTAGTTATATCTGTTAATAATATATATATATATATCTGTTTATCTATGCAAAGTTTGTTTGTGCCTCTAGGGACCTGCATGGCCCCCCCCCCCCACCTCAGTGCAGGCTTACAATGACTAGTACACCAGACGGCAATCCTCAACTCCAAAAAGTTGGCATCTTTGCCAACAATATCACATCCATCCAGTGGTGTATACACAAGAAGATTTGGGGGGTGGGGGTATGTGTGAGGGTGCACACCCCTTAAAAAAAAACAAAGCTTGTATCTCTTTCGACTGAAAATTTGCTGAACATATCATGTAACCTTATATCTTGCCAGCTAGTTCTGCCCCCTTCCCCGTTAATCATCAAGCTGCTCAAATTAACTTTCTCACCCACATTAGCCTTCCCATGTCAAATTTTTCAAGCACCACTGCACCCACCCATGTTTTTGTGATGACTTACTGTTGCAGGTAATTCTGGGTTGTTTTTTGTAAGATCATCAATATGTTCTTGGAGTTTGTGAGGAGGCATTGCTTTGCATTCTTCATTCTGAAGGAGGGCAGCCTGCTCTGACATAAAGAATTCAGCTTGACGATGTGAGAAAATACCACTCAATGACAAATCATGCCTGGAATAGAAAAAATCTTTTTAGTCAAGAAATATTAACTGATTCATGTTTCCGAATAAATATTATATTACTTATTGTTTATATTACACAGGAGTGGAAGGTGCAGGAC